GTATCTATCCCATCCCGCACGTGTTGTGGTCGATCATAACGTTGCGAGGTAGGCAGCCTGTTTTCTCTCCGCTGGGACACGGCACTCCTCGTCGTACCAGCTGTTCTTTTGCACTTTCCGAAAACCAATGGTTTCGGTTGCAGCTGTACGTAAGGAATTTGAAATGCCGTCCCACAGTTCCCTTCTACCGAGTTGTTGACGAGTACTCTCAGAGCGCAGAAGTGCAAGCCGAGTATAAAATCGTTCGGCTGTCTGTTGTAATTGCAGCTTGTCGACGTCGAACCTTCCTTGTGTTTGTTGGCGTGCGTTTTTTGCTGCACAGAGGCGGATGCGAGTCTTGGCTGCAACAAGAAAGTGGTCCGAGTTGATGTTAGGACCTCAGAGTGCACGCACATCTAAAACACTGGAGACGTGTCTTCCGTCTATCACAACATGATCGATCTGGGTGGTGGTTTTTCGAGTCGGAGACAGCCAGTTAGCTTAATTAATCTTCTTATGCTGGAATCCAGTACTACAGATAACCATATTTCGGGCCCCGGCGAAGTCGATCAGCCGGAACCCATTTGGGGATGTTTCGTCGTGGAGGCTGAATTCACCGACCGTAGTACTTGGCCATAGTTACCTTCTTTGCCCACCCTGGCGTTAAAGTCGCCAAGCACGATTTTGACATCGTGGCGGGGGCAGCTCTCATAAGTGCGTTCCAAGCACTCATAAAAGGCATCTTTGGTCACATCGTCCTTCTCTTCCGGGCGCAAATCAGCGATATGTTGAAGAACCTCGCTTTGATGCGGATTGTGGCTAGACGTTCATTCACCGGAGTGAATGATAGCACTCGGCGACGAAGTCTCTCTCCCACCACGAATCCCATACAAAACTTGCGCTCCTATATATGGCCACTATAGTAAATGACACAGGGACCTACTCGTCTCTGTCCCGTCCATCGCATTTCTTGGATGACGGTGATGTCAGCCTTTATTTTCACAAGGACATTAACCAGCTGGGCAGCGACACCTTCCCAACTAAGGGGAAGGGTTGATTAATCCTATGTGTACGGAATTTGAGAACAATTGCTCGTTAACTTGTCTATTCTCAGCATTACTGCTACCCATTCTAAAATATGGAACAGTGATCTGGTCCCCATTTACGAACTCAATGGCCAACAGAGTAGAGAGAATCCACCATAAGTTCTGCAAAGCGCTGCTATTTCATAACAGACATAGAAACGATATCAATTCAACAGAAGACGTCCGAAGAATCCTGAAAATAAATGACCTGAAATCTCGACGGCAATAAGCAGACCTCATCTTCTTCTTCAAAATCTTCAATAGATTAATTGATGCCCCAGAAATCCATGCAGACTTTGAAATCATACCAAACGAGCTTAACCTTAGACAGATGAGGATCCTGAAAACTTGCAGATCGAACAAAAACTATGTAATCAATGGCCCAAAGAAAAGAATCTGTAAACTGGTAAACTCTCTGCACGGTGACATCAACTTCTTCAGCGGAACTCTACAGAACTTTAGAAAAATCGTTAAAAAAGCTGAATTTAAAATATTAGCATACGAACTAGGTTACTTGTTTAATTCCTATTTTTATATGTTTAAGCCTGTTGTCTTATTTATAATTATAATTGTTATTAGATGTATAGTGCCGATTGGCGTTAAATAAATAAATAAATAAATAAATTACAAAAGACTTGGAAACCTCAACAACAACTGAACAGAAATCTACCGCAACAACAACAACTTGGATTCATTACTATCTTTGAGTCGTGCAATTCGCCTATTTAGGTAGTTTTCCTGCAATTTAACCTTTCTAAACCTTCAATTAATATGTAATTATCAGTAAATCCATTACATTCTATACATATCCGATAATAAATACAAGTAAAATGTTTCTTGAAATTGAGCATTGCATTTTATACTGAGCAAACATTTTTTCGATAAACAACTGAACTTGTATACAATTTAACAACAGAAAATTTTTACGTTTAAATTGCTTTCTAAAGTGGCTAGGATTTAGAATAGTATCCTCCGATTTCGGGGTTAAAATGGGTATGTACGGATAGAGGCGGTCCTCCAGATCAAGAATATATATATATATATATGTCTAGTTGCCGCTGACTTATGGTTTTTAAGATATTTGTATTTAAAATTCAAAAATTCAACTATTTCAAACGCGCGTTTCTCCGATGTATAATTAATTTTGCACTTATATTTTAACTGTTATGTCCACTAACACTTCACTCATTCGTTTCTAAATAGTTTTTCTCGTCACATTCAATAAAAAAGAATTGGCAAAATGTAACAGTGTTGGTGAACAGCTGCAAATGTTTCATTGTGTTTGTGCAATCTGTTATCTCCGTCTTTTCAGGGAATCTTGTGATATATAATCGTGATAGCAAGCAACGGAAGTTATTTTTGCACTATTTAATATAAAATAAATTATTTGAAACGAATTAGTGAAGGGTTAGTGGATATGGAAGTTGAAAATTTAAGTGTAAAATATAATCGGAGGCACAATTCCGACCTCTTTGGCGCCGCGATTTGAAGGTACCGTTGGAAAGATGACATTCTCCTGATTAAAAAAATATATAGGGTTATAGTTTAGGAGATATTAGACCTGAAAGTTCAAAAATTCCCAAAATTCGAACATTTCAAGAAGCTTTTTCACCACATTTAACACACTTTATTCACGTTTTTTTTTTTTTTTTAATTAGTTAAATTAAACTATAAACTTGGAAATAAATCCATATTTTCCACTTTTAGCAGGTTTTTTACCTAAGAAATCTTTATTTTAAAAATTACATTTTACACTCGTAGTGAACACCATTCGTGTGCTCAAAATTACGACAAAATGGAGCGCTGCCATGTGATAATAAGGAAATTCGCTGAAATTCCTTTTTCCCAAAAATTCCTCTATCCATGCATATCTATATGTTTTTTATTTAATTGAAAAAACAAATATGTAATATTATAATATTACATATATTGTCACCTAATAAACAAAACAACGTATTATCAAAAATAAATGGAAATCGCTGACAGATATTATAACCAAAATTTAACCATTTAATAACGAAAACTCAAATTTTGTTTCAATATGAGTGCATGATAATCAGAAAATATTACCACTTTAACCACTTTATAACGAAAACTCAATTTATTTTTAACGCAGAAAGGAGTACTACGCGAAAGTACTTCAGTTATCACGATATGATATAAATTTTATAATATAATCATAGAGTTTTAGTTATTTGTGTTTATTAAATATAAATCACATATTATACGTATACATAGTATGTAGATGGAAAAAGTGTTCACAACTCAATTATAACTTAAAAAATGTTGCAAAGTATTTTTTAATGTAATTCATATAGAAAAAAGTATCACGCAAAAAAAATAAACAAAGAAAAATCGTTAAAAATCCTACATATTTGGTGTTTAACATTTGTTTTAAACGTTTTGCTCATAATTGTTAACAATCTCACCTTTGCAGCGACGAGTGAGATAAGTGATTTTTAAATTAATAAATTTAGGTAAAATATTACAAAATAAAATTGAAATGTGAACTTATTTCAATGTTTAGGGTGTATATTTAAATATATAGAGTGAAAAACGTGAATAAATTTAGTGAAAGATAGAGAAATACCATGTGCTATTAGTGCAAATTTTTTAACTTTTAATCGTGAATATTTTTAAAAATATAAGATATTTTTATATTAATTTCGGATATTCCTCCTCTGGCGAAGCTCCCCTATCCGCCCATAACCCCATTTAGACGAAAAATCGCTTTTCTTACTCCTCCGAAAAAGTAATCGGAATCGTGCCTAATCGAGGAACACTTCTTTTAAATAGTTGAATGTTTGAATTTTAAATGCAAATATCTCAAAAACCATAGGTGAGCAACAACTATATACATATGTATATTTTCTTAATCTGGAGGCCCAACTCTATTCGTACATACCCACTTTAACCCCGAAATCAGGTGATGCTTTTGTAAAATTTGCACCTAAAGTAATATATTTTAAAGTACTTTTATCACTTAGTTCAAGTTAACTTTGTAATAAGTAAATACTTAACATATCCTTAATTAAAGATCTGAAATTAAGTTAAACTAAAACAATAAAAAAAATTTAATTAATATCACTGTTCCTCAGGTTTTTATTTATAGTGTAAGCAAAATTATTTTAAATATAAAAAATATATATAATTTTGTATCATATTTACGCTTACTTCAATTCATATCATATATGCAGCTATTTACTGAGTTGTGGCATTGCATCCCAAAACATTGAAAATACGTCCCACACTAAAGCAACAGTAGCGCACCTCAGGAAATGTGTTCTGCCCATAAATTAAGGGTGCAGTTCGTTTTACATTCGACTTTGTCATGATATCAGCAAATATGCAAAACTCATACATATATGTATTAACATTCTATATATCATTTTGAGAAATTCAGCATAGGATCATAACACCACAAATTTTGATTAACTTTTTTTCTTCAAGTATAAATAAAGTCCCGAACTTAACCATTCCTAAAGAACTTGGACGAAATCAGCATGAAACTACAAATATTTCGTCCTTTGCTTGTTTACATACTAATGAATTAAGTATTTATATGCGTATATAGGTTAAATATTATCAATTTACAATTACTAATATCTCAATTATTTACTTTCAAGTTGAATGTCCACCTTATTTTTAATTAAAATTATTATTTTGACGGTCAACCACAATTATGTATATGTACACCACTTCGTCGCGAATAGAACATCGAAACCATTTGACGGTTGTTACGTTATACGCAACCTAAAAACGTAATACAGACTTACAACATTATTATGTGTGAGGGATGTAATAATGTCTGCTCATCGATAAATTTTGTCTATTAAGAATGAGTTTACACACGAAGATTTCTGTTGCCTACTATCACGAATAACAGTCACAAGATTCCCTGAAAAGACGGAGATAACAGATTGCCCAAATACAATGAAACATTTGCAGCTGTTCCTTCAACACTGTTACATTTTGTCCAATTGTTTGTTGAATGGGAGAAGAGAAAAGCTATCCACTTTTAGCTTTATCGAAATATTATTATGTTAAAAGAGAAAAGCCGATACACCAAGAAGAATAATTAATAACAAAATGTGGGAAATGCGCAATTGTTTGGTTAATTTGTGGGATAAAAGTTTTGAGGCGATATGTCAACTGCATTGAATAAACATTGAAGGACAAGGCATTGCTGGGTCAGTGTTTAACAAAACACAAGGGCCAATATCGGCAAGATAAGCAGTGCAGATAAGTTAGCAGTAAGTTATTGTAAATGAAAAAATGTAACAGAGAAAGAAATAAGAATATTATAATTTGTAGAAATTTAAAATTCATCGTGAAGATCCGTTACAATGAAAATATATAGTCTATATCAGCGGCGTTGTTTTGGATAAGGTGGCAAAGGTTCGCGATTTTTCCTCTGCTAATGGTAGGCACCTTGCCGCTGTGCAGGGGCTTAGGCGCAAAGCATACTCAGCATCCCCCACACCGGCGTGGATGGTGCCGATAGACACTTTGCAGCCAGGAGGTAAATTCGGCTGTATTCTAACGGAGTCTCCCCAACATCGGGCCGAATTGGGGAGTAACTGTGGCCTTACCGCGTTAAGGGGCTCTGTCGTGGCAGACCCCTTAGTTCTCCTATAAAATATTAGACCCATCAGCTCACATTGCTAAGCCAAGGGTCGTAAGAACATGATGAGCACACAAGAACCAAACTTAACAACCAAATCTAACAACACGAAAGACGAGGTGGGCAATGCCCTCCCCCAGAAGCTGGCAAACCCGGCGGGTGTGACGACCCGCACAGGAAGGGAATGAGCGGTGCCATCATGAAGTGGTACCTGCGGTACCTTCGAGATAGGAAGACTGCGGAGGCTATCCCACGACAGTCGGGTCTACGAAAACCGGAACATACCCGGATTTTTATCCGGCCAAGGACTGTCAACTCGGCAGAATTCTGCCGTTACAACAACAACAACAACAACGTATGTTCAAACCGCGCAACGAAAGAGTGGCCAAATCACGCTGCAGTGGTCCCCCAGCTCCAAAAGGTTGAGGGGCAGCAATACAAAGGCAGCCGGAAGCCAATCATCCGGACCGGCTCCCCACAGGATTAAGGAGGGGCGTCGCAGATATGCGAACGCTGTTAAAGGTATCTGCATGGCTGTACTGCCACAAAACTTACCGGCGGAATCGCTACAACCGGAGGAGCTTACCGTGCTCCAGGACCTCCTCATGGAAGTGGTATTCAGAGGAAATGAATACGCGGCGTCCTTCCGGGAGGCGGAATTCAAAGGAGGTCAGCGCGATGGACGGCGGGGAAGAGGATCTGCCCTTTCTCGAACCCATGCTATAAGGGCCGTCAATACGGAGATCGCCCTCCTGCATCACACGGCAGCAACGGAGAAACTATGCGTACTGCTGATCCAAGAGGATTGGGTCCATAGAGGAGAGGTTAAAGGCATCAAGACGGAGTCAAATAAAATAATCTCGGATCTCTCTAGCGAGTAAGTAATAATGTAAGAGGTCAGTCTCTTTTAGAGTACATAGTAAAAACTTAACGATAGAGAATGTAGGGTGTGAACCCACATTTATAACTATAAGCAGGAAGGAGGTGATGAACATCACCCCGAGCAATGAGCCTGCAAGCTGATTGGTCTCGCAATGGAGAGTCTCGACGGAGGCCTTGTCAGACCACAGGATTGTAAGGCTCACGCTAAAGGTAGAGGTCAGGGAACTCCCCCCTAGACGTAACCCTCGGAAGGCGACTTGGGATGCCTTCAGGGATATACTAAGGAATTGGGCAGGGGGGTTGGTCGGGGGTAGATGCAGATGGATAATAGCGTTTCAGGCTCAGGACTGGATATCAGGCTATCTGAGCTGAACGGGTCTGATGTTAACGCTTATCATGGCAGTTGCTCCCTAAAAGTGCCCACAGACAGACGAAACTGTCCCTGGTGGTCAAGGAAATTAGCAGACCTCCGGAAAAAAGTACGTAGCCTATTTAACAAAGTTCTGGCCAGGTGACGCAGAAATAGCAATTAAAAGAAGCGATGGGACATTTACGACCAGCGCAGAGGACAGAGCCACGGAGTTTCTGCGGGCGCACTTCCCGGAGACAGTTCTTCTTCTTCTTCTTGATTGGCGTAGTCACCGCTTACGCGATTATAGCCGAGTTAACAACAGCGCGGTAGTCGTTTCTTCTTTTCGCTTTGTGGCGCCAATTAGATATTCCAAGTGAAGCCTGGTCCTTCTCCACTTGATCCTTCCAACGGAGTGGAGGTCATCCTCTTCGTCTGCTTCCCCCGACGGGTACTGTGTCGAATACTTTCAAAGCTGGAGTGTTTTCGTCCATTCGGACAACATGACCTAGCCAGCGTAGCCGCTGTCTTTTAATTCACTGAACTATGACAATGTCGTCATATATCTCGTACAGCTCATCGTTCCATCGATTGCGATAGTCGCCGTGGCCAACGCGCAAAGGACCATAAATCTTTCGCAGAACTTTTCTCTCGAAATCTCGCAACGTCGACTCATCCGTTGTTGACATCGTCCAAGCCTCTGCACCATATAGCAGGACGGGAATTATGAGTGACTTATAGAGTTTGGTTTTTGTTTGCCGAGAGAGGACTTTGCTTTCCCATTTGCCTACTCAGTCCGAAGTAGCACCTGTTGGCAAGAGTTATCCTGCGTTGGATTTCTAGGCTAACATTGTTGGTGGTGTTTACGCTGGTTCCAAGATGGACGAAATTATCTACAACTTCAAAGCTATGATGGTCAACAGTGATGTGAGTGCCAAGTCGCGAGTGCGATGACTGTTTTTTTGATGATAGGAGATATTTCGTCTTGCCCTCGTTCACTGCCAGACCCATTTGTGTTGCTTCCTTGTCCAGTCCGGAGAAAGCAGAACTAACGGCGCCGATGTAGAGGCCGATGATATCAATATC